ATAAAACGAGGGAAGAATTAAAGTTGCTAATTAAAGTGTATATGTAGCTAACTAGTTAGACTGAACTCACTATAAGAGAAAGTAGATTTAGTATATTTTAGGGGAATATTCTTTCAAATATTTAACAGGCTGAGTGTTAAAACATCTGTGGTATAATGAACTGAAGATGTCCAGTTAGGTGCCAGGATATAAGGATTGGGATTTAAGAAGATCAGAGTGACGACCTAGGAATAACCAAAAATATAACTGGTAACTGAAATTGTGGGTATAGACAAGATTTCCCAGAGAGTCTTGTGACTAAGACCAGCAGGAATTAGAGGATAAAATGTTGGGGAACACTAATATTTAAGGAGCAAACAGTTAAAGAACTAAAGAAAGAAGTGAGAAAAAGAAGTAAAATGGGTGAGCAATAACAAAAACTACTGCAGACACCAAGGAAGAGTCTCAATATGGACAAAATAGATGTTAAATGGCATGAATAAAAGCACCCCTAGGATGGAAATTACATCATTAGCTTCTTTATCTGCAACAATGTCAATAGACTAATGGGATCAGAAGTCAGACTGCAACTGGGAAGTGGCTGGAAGGGGAGAAAAAAGAGTCAGTGATTATCTTTCAATAAACTCGGCAGCGTAAGAAAGCAGAGAAGACGATAAAACAAAGAGACTGGAGGTCTGGAAAGGGTAAGATTTTTGGTTCTTCTTGTTTATTTTTAATATGGGGTAAAACTTGTGTATGGCTACAATTTAAGGTAAAGGATCCTATGGAGAGGGAAAGATGTAAGGCACAAATCTGAAGAATTAAATTGATTGGGCAGGTCTCCAAGATGCTGGAAGTTAAAGAGCTGGAGATAGGTGGTCCTTTCCTTGGAAAGGTGGATAGATATTCTTCTGAAACTGGAGCAGGGGAGAAAATGATTATAGATAACTACAGTAATGGTGGGAGGGAAGTTGAGAGAATCCACACCACACATCACTATTTTTTGCAGTAGAGTAGGATGTTAATTATCTGCTTAGAATGGACATTCAGGAATGGGGTAGGAAGTCCCAACAGTCACTAAGGTAAACAAAGCAAAGCTCATGAGTAAAGATACCTGTCAGAAATTAATCCTTCCAGTTTTTACCCTCAGACTTCAGACCTAACCCCAGCTATGAATCCGGCTAGAATTAGAGACAAAATTCAGATTTCTTCTCAGAAGGTACCACATAAGTACTGGGGTAAAGTGGGCTACTCGCAAGTTATTGAATTCTGACTCAGAGGAATCCCCTCCACCAAATTTGAAAGAGGCCTTATAAGAATGCAACCTAGAATTACAGTGGGCAGGACCGTTTAAGCTCAGTGACATTCAGAAATATAGTCTTATCAAGTACTTAAGATATATTAAGTACCACTGAGGTATAAAAATAAAAAATCCCTACTCTCTATAAACTGCATGCTAAGTAATTGAGAGGCATGCTTCCTGAAATGTTTTTTTTAAAAAGAGATTTATTTATTTATACAAGAGCTGGGGTACAGTCAGAGGCATGGAAGGATGAGAGAATTCACCAGAGACAGAACAGGGAGCAGAACAGGAAGACGGACAGAGGACACTGCTGAGGGGAGCAGCGGGCGAGTCATGGGAGTTCTGCCGCGCCATGTGGGTATCTCCCTGGCCAGTCCAGGAATCGAACCAGAGCTGCAGAGGCTGCAGACAGCTTCACAGCGTGGCGCTCAACCCGCTGTACCACCGGGGAGGCCCCATTCTGAAATATGTTTATATACTCATGAGGGTCATGCAAAGTGCTTAGAACATAGCATGGATTCAACTTGCTTGAAACAGAAAAAGCAATTTTGACAGAACCTGCACTTGCCAAATCCCTTGCCTTGCTTTTAAATCTGCAAGTGTGATAAGTATTCAAATATGCACATTTATTCTCCTAATCTAAGTCTCAAATCCTGAGGTTCACCAGATTCTGAGTCTCATACAACTGCTCTGTAGATATGGAATGAAACATTCAGAAGAGGGTGTAGCATCCAATACATGTTTCATCTCCATGTAACCAGACAGAGGAAAAAAGCAGGTTCTGTTATCTTTGTCTAGGTATATCAGAGTCAAATTTCCTGAATGTTCTGTATTTTCTTTAGTATTGCAATTAGTTTATGAAAGCTGATCTTACATCATTATTATTTTTATCACAGGGGAAATAACTTCACTGAAACTCAAAGTTAAAGTAGCTTTATAACAGCCAAAGACTGCATCATATTAGGCTGAGACCTAAGATATACAAATAAAAATAATTTATCTTGTTTAAAAAGTTATACTAACAAAAACTTAGACAATGGGTAAGATGGTTATATGAACATTATGTAACAAAAAGGACCTTAATGAATTAAGAATAATGCATATACATTAAGGAAGGTAAACTCATTTTTAAAGATATTTTGGGTAGAAAATTTATCAATTTGGGGAAAATACTTATTATTTAGCTTTAGAACATGTAATTTGAAAAATTATCACTAAGAACTCAGTGATAAAGATGAAACATCTGCCAAAATAGAGATGACAGCATGAGCAAGTATCCTAATGGTAGGCATTTAGTGTAACGCTTTAACACACTGCCTCTAGCCTGCTGGGGTGGCCCCATAAATAAGTACTTTTAAATAGGCATTTACTTCCTTAAAATGGCCACTTGTGTTTAAAAGTAATATATTCTTTAGGATGAAATAAAGCATTTTCATTTAAGCAAGCCAAATTACCACCAGATTTGGGGTTGGGGGAGACATATTTTAAATTAATCATGTGTCCTTGATTTTAAAAACTCACTTTGAACAAAGAAAAATCATTCAACCACTGAAAAGGCAGTTCATATTGCTGTCATTATTTGAGTAAGGTTTTATTTGCCAGTTAATGAATACCACTGAAACTGTTGATATGCTTTTAAGCAAACTATAATTTGACATATGGGAGAGGGGGTAGGAAAGGAGCATAGTAATTCATTCTGCATCTTCTCAAACAATACTGGCAGTTGCAGTTAGCCTGTACTTGGAAGGAAAGGCATTTTAAATAACTTATTTTATTACAGGGTTAACAGAAACTGTAGAGGCTACTGGAAAGTGGTTTTGGTTACCAGTCATTCATAAATACGCCGAAAGCAAAAATCAGACTTCAGTACAAATGAACATACAAATTTGTGACTTTCTTATTCTAGATTCTAAATTCAGTCTCCCAAATATCTTGGTTTACAACTACTGTGTTTTAAGACTGTTAATATCTCTTCATACATGTCCTTTTAAAATTACATATTAAAAACAAAAAAATCATATCTTATGACAAACACTATCTTATATTCAATACTTAACAGAAAAATGCATAATGCCTGTTTTCTTTTTTCAGATCATTAACTAATTACAATAAAATACCACACATTTTTAATCCTATGACTGTAGGGATTTGTGCACATTAACATTGTATTTAAATGACTGCTAATTTAATGTGATCCTAACTGTTACTAAAGGAGGCCTAATAGAATGCCTATCCCCCAAAGCACCATTCCAATAGTTCTTTCTAATTTACTTATTTAAAAAAAAACAACAACAGAATAAAATATACACTTTCTGCTATTCAGACTTGCTTTCATGCCCCTGGTCTGAGAATTAAGGATATTTTATTACAAATTTATAAGCTGGCACAATAAGGAGGCTCTCTGATCATACAACAGGTTTCTGAGAGCAGTATTATTTAAGCTACAGGGATAGTAATGGAAGCAAACCATTAATGAAGATGACAGGAAACACTACCTTATCTAATCAAACCTTTAGATGAGAGAGGTAATGATTATTAACAGCTCCAAAATTCTAGGATGTTTCAGAGTGGGGTAAGTGGTAAGCAGGGACTTGAGTACATTTTGGAAATAGCTTGAAGTCACAAACGTTTATGAACAGCACAGTAAAGCTAATAATTTAAAATCTTATAAATTTAGCACTCTAGGATTAAATGTAAGAATTGCTTGTTACTGTTGCTCAAGTTCAATTTTGAATCTTACAAAAAGTCCACAGAAGGCTCTATAAATGTGAAGTATGACAAGCACTGTGGAACCACGAAAATTCCTATTCCTTCCTCAGTTTTACGAGACAAGCATACGTTATAAAAAAGCGAAATGGATTCCAAAGGCTTGTGTTGGGGAGTGGGGTGGGGGTGTAAAACGCCTGTGGCATTGAGGGAAACCAAATCCCACTCTGCTCAAAAGGGTAATGACTAGAGGTTATTGTTTTTCTGTTTCATGCAAAATCTGAATTACTTTAAAACGGCTCCCCCAAATAAAGTGGGAAAACTTGGAACGCGCAATTAGGAAATGCATTAAAGTGGCTGATGGGTGGGGATATCGTGAAAGAGTTTCCAGGAAGCTTATTTCCAGGGTTAAAATAAGGGGTGGGGGAGGAGGAGCTTCTGACTAAATGCTGGGTTGGAAATGAAACTTAATTGTGTTCTTAACTCCTGTGTTCCTGTGGGAGGGCAAACAGGAGAAACCCCGTCTTGCAGACTTCGCCAAAATGCGCACTTCCCTCTCAAGAGGCCCGGGGCCTCCCACTCTCTCGCCTTCACCCCCCAAATGCGTGGATGCACTGAAGGGGAAGATGGGTGCGAAAGAGAGGAGACCCTAACAGATGTCACCCCCTCACCTCCTATCGCGCCTTTTCTCTCTACAGTTCATTTTTACGCGAGCTGGAGGGTTTGGAATCTTCTTCGGTGTGTGCGTCTGAAGCTGGGAGCCGAGGGGAGCCCAGTTCTCACCCCGGGGGAAGAGGAAGAGGAGGGGAATAATGCAAGAGGGAGCTCGATGGCCCGCGGGGCCTTGGCCCGTCCGCACTGGGGGGTGCAGGAAGGAGAAAGTAGCCCTTCGGGGTGCCGGCGGAGGGGGGAGGGAGGGGACATCCGGGGTGCAACCCACACACCCGCGAGGGCGCCGCGAAAACGCCGCCACGCCGGCTGCAGAGCCCGAAAAGAGAGAGAGACCACTCACCGCAGCACGCCGAGCCCAGCAGCAACGCCACCACCAGGGGCCACATCGCGACCGCCGAGGGGTCGCCACCGCCGCCGCGGGCGTCTGGAGCAACCCGCACAGGCAGAACCCGCCGCCGCCGCCGCCTGTCAAAAGCAGGACCAGACGCCCAGGCTGCCCGGGCGCGCGCGCGCGCGCTCCCGCCGCCCCACGCCCGCGCGAACCGCGCACGCGCACGCGCCCCCGCCCGTCACCGCGGCCGTTGACGCGTCGCCCTCCCCAGCGGCGGGCCCCGGTGCCAGCGCGGCGGCCGCTCGAGCGCGCTCCCAGGCGGGGGCGCGCCCCGCCGCTCCGACCCTCGCTCCCCCCACGCCGGGGTCGGCGTCCCGGCCGCGCACTGGAGGCAGAGCGTGTGTTCCCGCCAGAGACCTCATGGCCCCGCCTCTGTCCTCCGCCCTTTCCCCGCGCCCTCGCCCCGCCCCGGGCCCCGGCGCTCGCCCCTCGCGGGCGCTCTCCTCGGGCCACCCCTCCGGCACGCGGCGGGGCCCCGAAACGCCACCCTCTGGGGCCCAGGGTCCCCGCTCTCCTGGTCCCGCGGGCTGCCGGAGCGCGGCGACCCAGCAGCAGCAGCAGCAGCAGCGTCCCCTTTCACCGCGTTAATTTCCTCCTGAATCCGAGTGTAGACCGCGTGGGGGCGTCTCTACACTTCCCGCGCCGTCAGGGAGCCCGAGGGAGCCGCGCGGCGGCGCCATGGCGGGTGCCTGGCCGCAGGGAACGGCCACTCGGCCCGCCCGGGGCTCGAGCGCGGTCTTGGACCGCCCGGTTTTTGGTTCCGCAAAGGTTCTCTCTCTCTCTCTCTCTCTCTCTCTCTCTCTCTCTCTCTCTCTCTGTCTGTCTGTCTGTCTCTCTCTGTTTCTGTCTCTCCGTCTCTCTCTCTCTCTCTCATTTTTGAATGTTTTCTTTCTGTGTACAGGGCTCACAAAGTGCCACCCTGGTGGTAAACCGTTTGAGGTGTGGTTGACGCCGGAAACCTCAGGGGCATGAGGCCAGCAGCCGACGGTGAGGCGCCATAGCCAAGGCATCTCCTCCAGCCACTGTCCTTGTGCCTCGTTTGTGACCTCACCAAGTACCGTCCTCAGCTCTGGGGAGGGGGGGGTTGCTTTCTTGGGGGGGGGGGGAAAGGTTTTAAAATATTCCAAGCCACAAGGTGGACAAGGCCTTTGAACAGCTCACTTTGCCCCATCATTTATCCCCAAGCAAAAGCCCTTTAAGAAACGACCTTTAACATTTTCCAAAATGAACTCTCTTCCAGAAAATCAGGCTCTGGTGGCTGCTCTAATGGGGTGCGTATCCTGCCTGCCCCCTGGGTGCTTTGCTCTTACCTGCTGGGTGGGGGAAGCAATTTCCTAATACAATATACCACTTCTCCTAAACTCTAACCTGGGTGTCTTTTCTGTTGCATACCATTCCCATAGTAACAAAAACCAGGAAATAAAATCACCACACAGTGAAACTCTGAAGCAGGCTACTATATAATATGTAACTTTTCCCTAAAACTGTGTTCCCTTTAAGCCTTCTTCACCACAGAACCAGTTCTTTAAAATCAGAGGGTATTTTAAGTATTCCCTCTTCCAAGACATACCACTGAACTAGGCAAACAGAAGGGGTTTAATAAATGTGTTGATGTGACTGGAGGCAAGCTTTGCTCCAGTGAAATTTGATTGTTTTTAATGATTTTTTAAAAAAAAAAAGAAAGAAAAAACTATAGCTGGCAGATACTTCACTAAAACAATGGTTAATAATTATGGTGGTAATGATTTAAATGGCAGCCTTGACATCCCGAGGCTACCAAAGGGAGATCGATTCTCCTCCAACTGCTGCTTATATGGATACAAAAGAATCATCCACCAGACTTTTGGGACATTGTGTATCACAGAGCAGCTGGTTGGCTAAATAAGGCTGTCAGCTGTCCCTGAGACCAACCTTCCCCCCTAAAGCTGAATAGTGACTAGGAAGGACTGTCCCCAACCTTCAGAGGTAGAGACTGAGTAATGCTCTAATTTATACAGGGAACTGCTGAGGTTATGTCCTTAAGTGACTTGATACAGAAAATGGAGGAGGCTTAAGTTAGATAAATAAGAGGTCCTCTTGGGAATTTAGCAGGCATTTGTTTTGATAGTGGGTCAGGAAGAAATCTATTCCAGAAGCGACAATGCAACACAACGTGCCTAGGCCTGATGAGCTTTCTGAGATAACTTTGGACTACTTTCTCTACTATCTAACCACCTTACATTTGTTTCTTTGTTTGACGTCTCCAAGCATTTTTATTTGGAGTTTGAGCTCATCTTTATGTAAGGTGTTTCTTGGATGAAAGGCAAGAGAGTAATGCATATTAGAATGTTTTGAACTGAGGTGATATCCATTAGATAGATTGCCTAAATTAATCTTCCTAACTGATTTGGATAGGCATTATGATCTTGGTAGTAGAGATGAAGAAATAAAGGAAAGAGGGGTAATGAGCACCCCATCCATGATACCATAGGATACTTTTGTCTCTTTCATATATGTCTATAGTCCTTGTCCTCTTTTCCTGAATTTTTTTTTTTTTACCCATAACATCAAAGATGGCATAGTTGCTCCTTTACTATCAGTTCACCTAGGACAAGTTACTTGAATTTTCTGATCCCTAGTTTCCTCATTTGTAAAGCATATTAATAAAACTCTTGAAATTAACTCTTCAATTTTCCTTGAGGATTTAGATAACACTTTCACAGTTACACAGAATAGTGCCTGGTGCACAGTAAGCAAACAATATCAGCCCTTATTATTACAATCTCCTTATAGTGACCTGGGTCTCCTGTAAGTTCAGTGAAAATTATTTCCAAAAGGTTCACCAATTGCTGATGTGAAGCCTTGAGGGAATACTGTGAGTTGATGAAGTGTCTACACTTTTGATTCAAGGTAAAGGCACTGTCAATCGCCTTACTCCTCTCAATCTTTTGCATACTTTGTTGGTGATTGAACCCCAGGGACTCACATATCTGACATCTGGCTCAGGGCCAATATTCTAGGGCATTAGTTCAAGTTTTTTTTTTTAATTTTTTTTAAAGATTTATTTTATTTGTTTATACAAGCACTGGGCACAGTCAGAAGCGTGGGAGGGTGAGAGAATTCACCAGAGATAGAGCGGAGAGCAGAACAGGCAGACTGACAAAGTACACTGCTGAGGGGAGCAGCGGGCAGCAGAAGAGGTCTGCGTGCCATGTGGGACCCTCGCCTGGCGGCTGGGGATTGAACTGGCGCTGCAGAAGCTGCGGGCAGCTTAGCAACCCAGTGCTCAACCACTGTGCCAGGGGGGAGGTCCCATTAATTCGAGTTGACCCAGTTAACACAGTATAGAAGCTCCAGTCATCAAATACAGCAGTGTAGCTATGGAGGACTGTGTTCCTGAATAAGGACTGGGCTTGGGTGGTAGGTAATTGGAAGATACCGATGTACTATTGAAAAGATGGGTTTGACTTAGGGAAACAGAAAGAACATGCCAGCATCATGAAATAATTTTCTTCCTAGACTGTGCTTCAACTTGGGGCAAAGATTAGAAACTGCCTCACGGTAGGAGGGTAATAAGACTAAAGATTTCCGGTAAGGGATATCTTACCAGAGTGATGACAGTGTGGTGTGGCATGGTTTTCCTTCTGAATGTCAGATGTACTCAGGGTTCCTTTCACCTAAGTCAGGAAGTAGCACAGCATTTGCTAGACTTCCTCCTGCCACTGCTGCCAGAAGCTACACATGTAGGGGGCCCCACACTCAAGACAGCTTGAGAGTGCTAGAGAAAACCAGCTTCTAGGTTACCTTGTAAAATCACAGCATGCTTATTTCTTTGAGAGTGCATAATGTTTGGGCTCCTGGAAAGGCCCTTTGTGTGTGGCCTAACCTTTCCTCTTTGTAAACAGATCACGTGCATGTAGTGGGTCTATACTATGCATGAATACACCATGCTAGTGTATTAATTTTCTATTCCTGCAAATGTACGGATTTAAAAGACTACCCAGTGATTACCTCATAGTTCCATAGGTTAGAAATCCAGTGCTCTCAGTTCTCTGCTGGCCTTATAAGGCCCAAATCAAGTCATTTTCTGACTGTTTTCTCTTCTAGAAGCTCTAGGGAAGAATTCTTTTCCAAGTTCCTTTAGCTGGTTGGAAGAATTCAGTGCCTATATGACCACGCTTTCTGTTTCCTTGCTGGCTGTCATCTGGAGGGTCCCCTTAGCATTTAGAGGTCTCTTGGATCATTGAGTGTGGCTGCACGTAGTCTTCGAATGTCCTAGAACTATCAATGGTATATTACATCCTTCTTGTGTTGATGCATCTCTCTGTCTCCCCTTCTCTTGCCACATTTCTATGACTGACTTCTTTCTTCTACTTTTTGGTGCTCAAATGATTAGATTGGGTACCTCCAGTAATCCAAAATAATCTCCCTATTTTAAGGTCTGTCATCTTAATCACATCCTCAAAGTCTCTTTTGCCCTTCTAACATTTGCAGATTTCCAGGCATTTTAGGACTGGGAAATCTTGGGGGGGACATTATTCTGCCTACTACAGTTAAGTTCTTTTCATATTTATCTCCCTTAATCCTCATTACAGTAGGAAGTATTGTTAAAACCTTTGTCTTAGGGCCTCCCTGCTGGTGAAGCTGTAAAGCTGTCCACAGCCTCTGCAGCACAGGTTTGATCCCTGCCAGCAGGCGAGAATCCCACATGGCGCAGCCGACCTCTCCTGTCATGCCCACTGCTCCCCTCAGCAGTGTATTTCAGTCAGTCTGCCTGTTCTGCTCCCCACTCTGTCTCTGGTGAATCCTCTCACCCTCTCATGCATCTGGTCTGTATCCTGGTTCTTGTATAAACAAATAAATCTTTAAAAAACAAAACAAACAAACAAACAAAAAACAACCTTTGTCTTAGTGGTGAAACTGAGGCTCAGGGAAATTTATATTATAACTAATAAATGGTGGAACTGCAGTTCAAATTTCACCTAGGTCCTCACCCTATTTCCTCTGCCAGAGAGAACAAATAGTGGAAGCAAAACAATCTTATGATCCAGGGCTCTTACTGCAGTCCCCACTATCACTTCACTGGTTCTGCTTTTCAACTTAATGAGTGAGTACCACTGTGCTCAGCAAATTTCCAGTGCTCCTCCTAGGTACATGATATATGTATCCACTGGTTCTCAGCAGAAAATAGATGGCAAGTTCAAATAGTTATTTAGAAGAGATTAATAAGGGGACTATTTACACAGGTTAAGGGAAACCAATGAATAATGATGAAACACTGTGAGCGGGCAGTAGTTACCCCCTTTGTTCCCAGTCTGGAGGTGCAAGGGGAAGAAATGTTCATCAGAACCCGGAGAGAGAGAAAAAAATGGAAGCAAGGCAAGGGCTGCCTGGCAGGAAGTTGTCTCTTTGGTAGAACATTGCTACTACCACCAGCCTAGGGGAGGAAATGGTGAACGAAATATTCTGACTTCACTCTCCTCCGGCCCCCTCTCAATTCTGAACTCTTGTTAGGGGCAAACCACAACCAGAAAACAGAGGGGAAGGAGCTTATGCAGTTCTTGCAGGTAAGTTTTCCAGGCTCAGAGCAGAGTATGGAGGATGGAGGTGAATCTGAGTAACAGCAGCCTGGACTGCCCCTCCCTTGACACTGGATATGATGACATGATTTGCTTTACTAGTGTATTAGTTTCCTAAGCACAGTCTTATTATAAGCAGTAGGTGCTTAAACCAAGAAAAACTCATTCTCTCATAGTTCTGAAAACTAGAAATCTGAAATCAAGTTGTCAATAGAGCTATGTTCCCTCTGACGTGCTAGAGAGGTATCTTCCCTCGCTTCTTCCTAGCTTTTGGTCAATTCCAGCAACTCTTGGACTGCTTTGGCTTGAACTGCAACACTCAAGTCTTTGCCTCTGTTTTCACTTGGCCTTCTTCTGTATCACTTCTTATAAGAATACCAGTCATTGAATTTGGGGTCCACTCTAAACTCAGTATATCATCTCCAGATTCTTCACTAAGTGCATGTGTGAAAAGTTTATTCAAATACGGTCACATTTTGAGGTTCTGGGAATGCACATGGATTTACTTGGGCAAGCCATGAAACAAGATGTTACTTCTGGGCAAAAGCATCAAGAACAAGAATGCCATTTGCTACTCTCTCATTCCTTCCATCATGGCAATCAGCAATTCTCCAGATAGTGACTGCTCCCTCAGCCTAGGTCTTGAAGTGAGGATGAGGCAAAGCAGGGCCCCAACTGACCTACAAAGGAAACACAACAGGAACAGAAATTAATGTGTCATCTCTCTTGACAGATACCATCTACAGCGTATAATGACCTTAGTTCAGCCCTTCAGAGATATTCCCAGCAGCTAAGGCAACTCTCCACTTCCTTCTTGACATGTGAAAACACCTTCGAATGATGCTTCTTCTTTCCAACTCCACTGGCATCATTTTTCTGCACTACAGTTCCTCTTTGGGGTCAAGGTAGAGAAAGAAATAGTAATCTTAAAGGGGAAGTTTTCTAGAAAAGAAAGAATGAAGGGCCTCCACGGTGGAGCAGCGGTTGAGCACTGGGTTGCGAAGCTGCCCGCAGCCTCTGCTGTGCCGGTTCGATCCCCGGCTGCTCCCCGGCCACAGGAGGAGGGTCCCACATGGTGCGCAGACCTCTCCTGCCGCCCGCTGCTCCCCTCAGCAGTGTACTTCGGTCCTTCTGCCTGCTCTGCTCCCCGCTCTGGCTCTGGTGAATTCTCTCACCCTCCCACGCTTCTGACTGTACCCAGTGCTTGTATGTATAAACAAATAAATAAATCTTTAAAAAAAAAAAAGGAAAGAAAAGAAAGAATGCAGACTAAAGCATATACAAGCTCTGAAATTAGCTGCAGTGTAGCTGTCTGCACTTCAGGCTAACAGTCTCACCTCTGCATTCAGCACAGCCGGTAGCACTCGGGCATGTCTGATGAGAAACCTGGGTTCCCTGCCTAAACCCAGGCTCTCAAGGTGCGCTCTCCCCTGCTCTACTATGACCACGTGTGCAAAATCACTCAAGACACTGGGCTTTATGAAGTTTGTTTATTGATGTTACGCAAGTTCTCGGGGTACATCTGCCAACCTACTTTTCTCTAATACTGGTCTAATTGTTATGGGTGTGGGCCAGCGGACTCAGGCTATCATCAGATGGGCTTTAAAAGTGAAGAGGATAAACTAGGATCAAACTGCCAGACAAGACAGATGTACATATTTGGAATCAAGAGAAAGGTTGCTGGATTCCACGTGCCTTAAACTTCACTTATCCCACTGTCTTAAATGGCAGCCGGACTTGAAGACCCCCTCATGCTCAGCTGCAGCCTCCATCCTCTCTTCCCCAACTGCAAACCCCATGCTCCACGACAGTAGGAGGGAAGGACAAAGGGATAGAACCAGTGGGCTTAGAGGGGTGGTTCTCAAAGTGTGTTAGCTGGATCAGTAGCACTGGCAGCACCTGGGGACCTGTTAGAAATGCAAATACTTGGGCCCTGCCCCAAACCTACTGAAACAGAAACCAGATGGCCTGCCTAGGAGGTGATTCATCTGGGTAAAAATGTCATCAGCTCTCTGTGCCCTTCAATTTGGTGGGAAGACACACCTATAGTGGCGAGTGCCTGGCAAGCCCACTTGTCTTCTGGCCCACTGGGCACTTTGTATTGGCTATAGGACACAGGTGCGAGTCGGGCCATGGCAGCATCCACGAGACAGAATCATGCCAAAGAGGAGAGAAGTCGCTCAGGTGGAAGCAGGCTCTGTCTAACATCTCATGGTGAAGGAGCACATATCCTGCATCCTTGCTGTTAGAAACCAATATGTACTTCATAGCGGCTTGAGGGTCTCTCTAGTTTTATATTTAGTGGGTTTAGAAGTAGGTTGAGAAATTGTTTTCACTGAGGTTTACAAACTGCCTTTTAGTGTGTGCATCAAGTTACTTTAATCTGAAATCTGCCCTAATCTCTTGTGAGTTTCCACTTGCAAGATGCCATTTTGATAAAATGCAGAAATCCTCCATATAGTTATAAGTGCAACTCTTTGTCTAGAGAATGAAGTAACAAAAGGAAACCAGGGGATTCCCTGGAGGACTGACAGATCAATACCCATTTCATCAGCTGACTGATTCAGAAGCACCTGCATGGCAGCATGCAGAATCAGAGGGGACGAGTTATACTCTGTCATAATGCAAAAGGATATGATCTGTTCATTTGCAGCAGCTGCATGGACCAGACTCTCTGCACCTGGTTCTGGTAAGTTAAGGTAAAGGGTGTGTCGACTGCCTATGTGGGCTAGGTACATGGTGTTCCACGTGTGTGCCGTGTGTGCTTTCCTCTGGGAGGTAAAAGGGCTCCTAATGGACAAATCAGTCAGATTTGCTAATAGATATGTTGTTCTTCTTTGCTTGTTTAGATGTTTCCCATCATTTGTTCTGGCAGTACTAGATTGCCTGAAAAAGGCTAGTGGTTTCCTTGCACACCACAAATTTTCTGCATCAGGAAGTTTTTTTCTTGTCCTTTTTTGGTGAAAAGGTTGCACATGTCAGTCTTTCTCCTCTCCACTCTCAGAATCCTCCATGTGTTTCGGAGCGTGGTAAGAGTGACCCACAAGGCCAAAAGAACAAGGTTGTGATTTGTGCTCCATCACCTCTTTCTCTGTCTCGCTTCTTTGGGGCCTGAGTCCTATGCCAACCCAGCTTCCTTTCCCTTCCTAAGAAGTGGCTTTGTGCCAGAGGGACTGCAAGCTAGATGAAAAGTTATCAAAGCACTAAAGGAAAGAATCGATAGTAATATATGTAAGTGTGTACATACATCACAAGTGACAGGCTCATTTCCATGCAACTTAAGATGTCCTCAGTGACACTCTTGCATATCTGCGTGCAAGCATACGCTCTTGGACTCAAACATGGCTGGGCTCATCCTGCAGGGACCAAGTGGACAGCTGCCCCGGGCTGTATTTGATTCCGCTGCAAGGACTGCTCCATGACCACCCCAGCTGGCCCAGGCCTTTCGCCTGCTGGGAACTCCCATATCACTGGCCTCTTTGGATTCAGGCACTGAAAGTTGTTTAAATGCAAATTATTTTCTAGGAGGTAGAGACATTATTATTCATTAATATTTGGACTTTAATGAGTTTATCAGCTTAGAAGAGAATAGGCCAAAGTCTTTTTGTAATAGAAGGCAGAGAGAGATATTTTAATAATGATAAGTGGAACAGAAAGAGTGTGATCTGAAATACTACAGAAATTATAGCCACAGAATCAAAGAATAGCATGAAGACGCTGGTTATATGGCAAGAAATGAGATGGAAAAAAAAGAAAGTGGGAAATAAAGTGCCTCCCCAAGTCCACAGTTAATTTCTGCCTGGAGTTATTAGCATTTTTTTCTCTAAGCAGGGGTTTTTGTACAAACTCTTGCTGAGACACTGAAGCATTTTGCATTTGCTATAATATCACTGCTTCTAAGGACGTATTTATTTAGTCAAAACCAGTTATTGAGCATCTAGTTCATGTGTAGGTGCTATAGGTCAGCAAAGCAAAAGAGACAAAACCCTTGCCCTCCATCATGGAGCTTTTATCTTTAGTGGGGTGGTGGGGAGAAATAATACATATAATTATTAAAGGATATATGGTAGTATAAATGGTGATAGGTGCCATGGAGAAAAATAAAACAATAAAAGAATGTGCCACTTTAAATAAGGTGACCAAGAAAGCTCACTAGAAAGTGACTTTTGAAGAAAGTGAGCAAACCAGGCAGATGTCACTATAGAGTTCATTTCAGGCAGAGGGGTGGTGTATGTGAAGTCCTATATCAGGAACATGTGGGCTTTGTTTGAGGAGGAGCAGGGGTTGGTGGGAGGCAGAGATAAGGGGGTGGAGAGTAGACAGTGTGGATAGCTGAGAGTGAGAATGGGCAGAGGGGGAAATTAGAGGGGATAAGATCAGAACATCATGGGAAGCGTAGTTCACTCGGGTACTTACAAGACGTCACTCTTATTCTGAGCAAGAAGCTTTTGAGAAGGGCAGTGATACTTTTCAGGTTTATTTCAGAGGTTACTGCAGGGTCAACCAGAGACAATAAATGTTTTTTGCCGGCCATGAGGTCTCTTTTGCAGCTCCCTTGATACAGCTGCCATAGCATCGGCCAAACTCATGAATGTGGCTGCTTGCTAAAAAAATGTTATTTACAAAACAGGTGGCTGGGCAGATTTAGCTCATGCTGATCCTTGGACTGTTGCAATAATCCACAGGAGAGATGAAGGTGGCTTAGAGCAGGGGGTTTTTGCAATGGAAGTGTTAGGAAGGGGTTGGATTCTGGCTACATTTTGAAGGTTGTGCCTGCAGGATTTGCTGTTGGAGCAGACATCCGGTATGAGAGAAGTCAATCAGTCAAGGGTGACTCCAAAGTTTTAGACCTGAGCACCTAGAGAAACAGCTGGAAACAGAGAGGGCCCAGATTAGTGGGAGGCAGGAGAAGGGTATCAGGAGTCAGTTGGGCACTGAAGCATTTAAGATGTTTATAGGGTGAAGAGATTGGATTAGACATTCCCTAACTCTCCTTCCAGCTCTAATATTCTATGATTCCACAACTGTGAGAGAATAAGCATCTACCCTAGTGGCTTCTGCTGTGATCACTGTCTTCAGGGGTACCTTCCACACTGCATTGCTCCATCTCTTCCAAATGCAATTGGCTAGAGATCAGTTGCTGGAAGGAAGAAACACTGGAAGGAAGGTAACTGCCAGCTGAAACTAGCAGGGGGACTTGGAAGCGTTGCATACATGGTGTATGTGCCTGAGGAGGCTTTAAGGGCTGGAGGCAAATTCCTGTGTATCTTAGTTTCCTGGAGGTTATTCTTAATGGAGGGTTGTCAGCCGACCAGCTAAGAATGTTCAACTCATTGTCGGAGAAAAAGGAAAGCAACTTCTGCAATTGCACCTCTGCTCCACTGTCAGAAAGGCCACAATTCAGACCCGCTCACTCTGCACAGATAGCCCGGTGCCACGTGATCCTGGGGGCCCCCTGGAACCCACAGGACACAGAATGGTCTCTGTCACTAACTTCTCCAGGCGGCTTCCTCCCTCTTCTTTCTCATCTTGCTTCACTGGGAGATAGGTCTTTTGTCTGCCCAAATTCTTTCCACCCAAGAAATGGCTCTGTGCCAATGGGGTTGTTTGCTGTGTGGAGAGCCGGCAAACCACTTTGGGAGTGAGCTGATAGTAATATATTTAAAATATGAGCATTTATCAGAAGCAGCAGATGGAGGCAGCAGAGTGGAGCTCCCAGAACTGAGGGCAGGGAGTGTTTCATTCCAGAGAAAAGCACACACTATCTAGACTCAGCTGCCACCGGCTTGTGAAACCAGTGAAGAGAAGGAGGAGGACCAAAAAAAGCCACCTTTGTGCTAGATTCTGGAGGTCACAGCATTCCCTGACCAAGAGTCCTTGCTGCCTCAAAGACCACATTCACTCCAGGATGGGAAGGAAAATCCTTTCTGGCTTTTTCCTTAACATGTTTGACTTCCCTAAAGGCTAATTTTAATAAAAATTCTGAAGCTCAGAGTTAATGGAAATATAGATCATCTCATTTATGTATGCTTATCTTAATTCATTCCACAAATATTTACTACATGCCTCAGACATGCCAGGAACCGTAGAACACTCGGGGGCAGAGTTTCAGGCAGACAGATATGTTATAATTCTAAAATATTAGAGCAGTCAAAAGTATTTCAGCTTTAGTACTTTATACCATCCCCAAATCTATACCTAAAAATACAACCATATCAGGATGGATTCTATTTACTATTTGAACCACAGAAGTATATCTTTTAGTGGTAAATTTCCACAGGGCAATCCCAAGCTCAGTACATTCATGGAGGAAAAAAATCCAATGTTGTTCATTTTGAGTCACCTGTTTGAGAAGAGAACTATGACAATAATATCCCTCTTGAAAACACCAATTTAAAGTTGCTCTTGGGGCAGTAGAAGGCCCCCAAGTCACCCAACAAAGGGCAGATGGGTTATGCTCATAACAATGAACCTTTGAGAAAAATGCCTGCTTTGCCTTCAGGTTTTTTTTTGTTTGTTTTTTTTTTTTTTTTTGTACAGACTTTGAAAAGTGTATCAATGAATAAATCACATTATTTCTTCAGATTCCTTTTTATAGGATAGTCCCAAAATATGAACCTTTGTGCCATTATATATGGGAGGTGTATATCCCAAATCTCCTGATGAGAATTAATCACTCCCTCCCTTGGTGCCACCAGGGAGGCATAAATTCACATTTCAATATATCAGGCTCTGTCCTTAGCTGCTTCTCATGATGTATTGTGAATTCCTCAAGGGTATGTGCAGCACAGTGCCTGGCACACAATGTGCAGGGAATACAATGAAATAAGAAATAAAGCCTGCAGAAGTTATTGAGGTTATAAAGAAGAAAAAAAGGAACAAATACAAAGTGTGCACTTTTATCATGTTATCTTTAAAGTAAGTAGATAAATTAGAAACAACTCATTGTTATGAATGATAGTATCTCTACTTGTTCCCAAAGTTGCTCTTTTTATTTTATTTAATTTTTAAAAGTTATTTATTCAACACCCTTTGTTGTGTATTTACTCAGTTTCAAATTGTGCAAGTCCCTGGGGGAGGAGTTACAAAGATTAGAAGACATTATGACCCTAAAAACATGCCCTTCTACACTATAAAGGGCTGGGTCATAACTATGTTCTGACGAACAAGGAGAGCACCCTGGGGAGAGCCAGGGAACGCTAAGGATGAGAAGGGGGCTATCTAAGGGTGATTGAGGCTCCAGGGAATCTAGAACAGATCTGACAGATCAACAGCTGTTAAAGGGAGAGCTATCGTCCCCTTAGGAAATTTAGAAACTACAGGAAGTTTAGAAACTTCAGGTCACTGATGGGAAGTCACCCCTGAGGGTGGTCAAAGATGCTGCAGGCCCTACTACTCCCTCCGATATAACAAAGTGTTAAAGAGCAGCTCCGATATAAAACGGGTTGCCTGGCTGTGGGTCCTCACCCGGCCCCTTAAAAGGAACTTATTAATACTCCACTGCAGGCACACACAAAAGGTTAATAAAAGGTTTATTTACAAGGGAAAGGGAAATGAGGAAATGTACAACTCAGGGAGAAAATAGGGAAATAAAGTCTTTAATGCGTCCTACCTGATCCGCTGACCTGGAAACCCAAAGGCACTCTCAGAGCTGGCCAAGCGCTGCGAGCTGGAGGAGAGCCAAAAAGAGACCCCCCAAAGCCCATGTGTCTGGTTTTATACGAAACCTGGCTGCTTAACCTCACCCTCAGGTCCCAGCAACCTTCTCTTTGGTGGTGACGGGATTTGTCTCTCCCAATGTCTTTTGGCTTTGGTCTGGAGTGGGGGTGGAGTCCACAAAGCCTGTATGGGATTAGCTTTAGGACATCCTTTTCCCCCTAACAAAAGAGTCATCCTGCATCCAACATATGTCTGAGTGTCCTTCTAGACATTCATGTAGGTGAATATTTTGTTATAATTATCTGAACTAAAGCCCAAGTCATGTCTCAAATAAGCACAAAGCTGCTTTGCAGAGTTTTAATAAAAACTGCATTTTCCAGGAATATGACTCCCTTGTGAGTCAAAGGAAGATTGGATCTTGTTCTCTTTGGAACTTCGCCAAGAGTCATTCACCATCTTGTAAAGGCACATCACTGACTGTCTCATTGCTCATGGTATTTGTGTCATCAATGCAACACACCAGAATCTGTCTTCATTTGTATCTATCAATCCCCAGTGATTCTAGGTAAACATTTGACTGTCTTGTTTTGTCTCTGAGTATACTTGTGCCTAAGCATTTTAACACATACAAATATGTATATAATTTCATATTATACTGGGAGCCATTCTACTCATGTCATCTGACAAAGGTCCATCATAGAGCAGATTCCTGAAAAGTCAGGAATCTTGTTAGCTGACTCCTGCTAGTTTCTCCTCATTTGTTTATGGCTAGTTTCTACCATTGTTAAAATACGCATTTAAAAGTAAAATTGCAAATGCTATTTGATCAATTACTGAATAACCAATTTGATGGCAAATGGCACTGCGTGATACAAATATTACATTTTTTATAGAATTAGTAATTCTCTGCCAAAAGGCAGTAATTCAACATTAGGCCTTACATTAACAAGTGAAAAAACTTCTGGGAACAAAAGGCTGTAACCGTCCCTTAGCCAAGTCTTTAATATGGATATGTGGTCTTTTGAGGCAAGGGCTAATTGAAGAAGGAAATTCTTTTACTTTAAAGTTAAAGGTAGCAGTTGGGTGGCAGACTGAGCCATGCTCCAAGTGTAAGAAAATTCCTAATAAGCCAGGAGGCGCTATAGCCGGCTCCTGCAAAATTCTTCCTGTTTGTTTAGGGCTGATTCCCCTGGAGGTGACAATGGGTATGGTAACTGTTAGAGTACGCATTCAAGAATAAGTCAACAACAATTTTGTGACTGGTTGAGCTAATAACCAAGGCAGCACAAATAATGCACTTGCAAATAGTCATTGTTACAACTACTGATATGTCACATATTAACCACTTTGAGAACCAAAAGCTATAACCATCTTTGGCCCTGCCTCTGATGAAATATTTGTAGTTCCTTAAAATAATAATCAGCAATCTTACAGAGAAAGGAATTTTCCCTTGATCTTAAAGTTAAATACGGAGGGCCTCCCCGGTGGCGCAGCGGTTGAGCGCTGGGTTGAGAGGCTGCCCGCGGCCTCTGCAGTGCCGGTTCGATCCCCGGCTGCTTCCTGGCCACCGGAGGAGAGTCCCACATGGCATGCAGACCTCTCCTGCCGCCCGCTGCTCCCCTCAGCAGTGTATTTCGTCAGTCTGCCTGTTCTGTTCCCTGCTCTGGCTCTGGTGAATTCTCTCACCCTCCCGCACTTCTGACTGTACCCAGTGCTTGTATAAACAAACAAACAAACAAATAAATCTTTAAGAAAAAAAAAAGTTAAATACGGAGACTAAGCTGACGAGATAAGTATAGGAGTAATGGGTGGAAAAACTCTTCTGTTAGATTAGGAAAATGCGTCCTTAATTGAGAGCTTGGGGCTAGGGAAGAGTCAATCAATGCATCTCCTGTCCCCCAGGAAACTTCCTGCCCTTTGTTTCCCCTAGCCCTTAGTTAATCCTTCACTATGGCAAATGTAGAAATGTTAGGTTCAGTCACATAAGCTTTTTGCTAGTAATAAAATGACTGTTTAAGGTAAATGACTACTCTAAGAACACTTTTGTTTAGCAACTGTGCCTTCTTTAAATCAAAAAATAATAAATGTCACGACCTCTGCAGATGGACAAATAGACCCTTGGCTATTCTTGAGAAAGATGTGATGATTGTTATCTTCCTGTCTTAATGCATATGCTTATGCACTCTCCTGGTTTGCTTGAAATGTATAAACAAAGGGCTGCTGAGACCCTCAGCAGGATGACATCTGCACCCTGATCAGGTGTCTGCATCTCCTCACTCCCCTTACCCACTTCCCCCAATCCCTCAGATTCGTCCATGCCATCTCATCCTTACAGGAACCCCTGACACGACAGTTTGCCAAGGCTGGTCCCCGGCAATATTTCTTGCTGTTTTTTATGTTACAGTTAATGTGTCATAGTGGATTTTTAAGAATTATGGATATAGATATGTTATTCATGAGAATTATTTTAAAATGGTAAAGGGCAGGATAGGTTTTTTAATATATGAAAAAGAGAACATTGGGTTTCAAAGGCTGAGAACCGGTGAAGTGCGTAAGGTAATGGAAAGAGTATTGTAGGCAATAGTCTAAAATCTTAACGTGTGAGAAATACCCGGTGATCCTGTTAAAACTTGAATTGCGATTCAGTAGGTTTTGGAGGCACGAGAACCAGCATTTATAACTAGCTTCCAGGTGATGCAAGCACTGTTGACCCATGGACCAGCTTTTGAGTTGCAAAGTTCCAGACAAAGAAGACTGCAGGTGCAACAGGTCTGAATGCTTGGAAGAGTTACTGGGAGACACTAGTATGAATAATTTGCTATAATCAGAGCCCAAAATGCAAAGTGTTATGTGGTAGGCGATAAGGTTGATACAGTTAACAAGTTTGTCTTTCCCCCATTTTTTGCAATTCCCCTTATCTAGCATTAACAGGATTGATGACTTGTCTTTCCCATTTGTTGCAGCTTCCCCTCCCCTTGGGAAGAAAAAAAAAAGCTGGCGCCCACCGGTTTCCCTGTAGACCCTTCCCCCTCGCCCTAAGGAAAACAAGTTGGCGATCACCGTCTCTGTGCCTTGACACCTTCCCCTTCCCTTAAGATGAATGAGCTGACACCCATCCATCTCCCTGTTGAGCTGGCGCCCACTTGTCTCTGTGCAGACCCCTTCCCCCTCCCCTTCGCGGATGCCTACCCATCTCCCCCTGTATAAATACCCCTGCCCACTGCCAAAGAGCAGGACGGTGGTTTTTCGGACATGAGTCTGCCTCCCTCCTCATTTGTCGACAAATAAAACCGCTTTCCTTTTCCTCAAACTTAGTTTCCTTTTATTGGCTGAGGGAAACTGAGGCCGGCGTTCGGTAACAAGGTTAGAAAGGAACACAGGGTCA